TAGGGAATGATTTCTTATTTTCTTTTTGTAGTTGAATTTTGAGTGTACAGTGAGCACAGGCAATGATTCCTTGGCCTTGAGGGTTATAAGGAATTCTTGTGGTAAAGGAAATGTGGAAAGTTTTACAGAACTTTTGGAAGGCAGCACTTGTATAGACTGGGCCTTTGTCAGGCTTAAGTGCCTGCAGGCGACCGAGGGCCACCAGAGGTGTATGCTGTGGCCCCTGGCTCCATCATTGCTCAGTAGTTGGCAGACTGTGGAGCCTCAAGGGTCTCATGAGGTATGGCTGTAGTGGAAAAGCCAGGTGAGGGCATCACTCTCCCACCACTGCCCACTGGTCTGTTTGCCTGCTTCCATACTGGTCAGCAAGAGAGCCTCCCGCTGCTGAGCTACGCGTGGGCAGGCCAGCAGGGTAAAGGCTGGGTGGAGCCCACATGGCCATCACAGCCCACAGCAGCAGCATCACAGCCCGCCCATCACAGCCCACAGCAGCGGCATGCAGACACCAACTGCATGATGCAGCACCCCATGACCTGCTTTCAGCACTGAGTCCAATCCACCACACGAAGCTGGGCAGCCTCAGGAAAGCCGTCTGGGCTGTACTCACCCACTATTTGGTGGGGCCACAGCAGGCCCAGCTGGAAGTTTCTCATAATAGATTGGCCTTCCACATTAGCTTTGGATTTACATTTGCCCAATGATATTGTGATCTACACTTTGTACGGATACTGGAAGGTTTTTGTTGAAGACAGACAATAGCCAAGCTGCCCTTACAGGTACAGCAGAGCAATCTCGGGCAAAATATCTCTTGCCTCCATAGCTGAAACAAGTAACCTTGTGCTTTCCCTTTCCTCTAAGCTGTGGATAAATAACCCAAGTGATCATTGCTGCCAAGGTAGCCCTTTGTATGTATGAGGAGCCAGTGTGTGGACCACTTTGAATCATTTCGGTGTAACCCATTGCATGTGGGCTTCTACAGCCTCTTTATAACATTTATTTGCATTTTTCAAGGCTGATTGTTGAACAATTAACTTAAGGATGACTCTATTTTATGAAGGGTGGAAATCTCAGCCTGTGATACAGCAAAATTTTCCTGAACTGAAAAAGCGGGAGTTGGGGCCTGGGGAGATGGCTCAGTGGAATAAGCGCTTCCCTGGCAAGCGCAAGAGCCTGAGTTCAAATCCTCGGTTCTGGAAAAAAAAAAAAAAAGAATTAATGAAAAAGTGGGAGTAGCCAGTAGTCACTTGTGGTGTAATTAAATTTATCAGTTTTACTTTGGGCAGCTGTGAAATAGAAGTTGCAGCGAAGCACTGCTTTAGTGGGAAAAGGTCTTTGCCCCACACCCCTCCTTGCTTATCTGGTTAAGCAAAGCTAGAGGGTTCAAGCTCTGTGTGTGTGGGGGGGGTGCTATGGCTCCACCATCTTTTTTCTGCTCAGGGTTTAATTTTTTTTGAGGGGGGGGTGAAACTGGGCATTGAACCTGGGACCTTGTACTTGCCAGTCAGGTGCTTATGCTGCTGAGCTCTTTCCCTGGTCCTCAGGGCTTAATTTTAAAACAATGCTCCAGGTCAAATCCTCTATGGTTGTCTAACAGGCATACAACCTTCAAGACACTCTGTAATCAAGATCCACAAAGAAAAAGTAAACACAGAAAACAGTAATACAACCAGCATTTCAATATACACCCAGGGGGCCTGCCCCTTAGCTCAGTTGTTTGGGGCCTGGGAGATGGCTCAGTAGAATAAGCACTTGCCTGCCAAGCGCAGGGGCCTGAGTTCAATCGCCGGTTCCGCAAAAAAAAAAAAAAAAAATCCAAATACATCATTTCTGTATAGATATTCTTGGAGAAGTATTTGCCCCATTTTTACATGTGATATGGGCTCACCATGGAGGATATCAATAGGCTCACTGTTGAGGCTATCAGTACACCTCTGGGCTCAATATTGATGATGTTGATACGCCTCTCCCTTTTGTGTGCACACTAGGGGTGTCCTTCTCACCTGCTGTGTGATGAATTGCCTCGTTCCCCAGGTCCCTGTTCAGGTACCAAACTGCTATGTCCAGCCTGGCTCTCAAACTTCCCAGGATGAAGACTGTGAAGGTCGGAGAGAAGGCGAAGATGCGAAGACAAGATACAGAAGCCCTGGGTCAGGCGGAGCCCTCCCCTGTGGGTGCTAAGAGAACCGCTCAGCAACTGCAGAACATTTCTGTATTCATGCAGCAGTTTGATGTCAGGTGCAACCACTCTGCCTGACAGCTGGCTCACCTCTCACAGCCCGCGTCTGGGGGCTAGAACACCTGTTTGCCTTGGGCACTCTGTGCTCCCTCTCTCTGAATGTGACACCAGCTCCAGCTCAGCCTCCAGAGGAGCCAGGTGTGTGGTGCACACCTGTAATCCCAGCACTTGGGAAGCTGAGGCAGGAGGACTGCTGTGAGTTTGAGGCCAGCCTGAACTGCATAGTAAGACTGTCTCAAAAAAAAAAGAAAGAAATGTTAATGTAATAGCAGTTATGTTAAAAAAAAAATCAGGCCACATGGTGCATGCCTGTAATTCCAAATGGCTTATTCACTTTTGTTCACTGCTGAGACAAAATATTCAACAATCAAAGTTGAAGGGGCAAAGGATTGTTTAGCTCACAGTTTATAAAGCTCTCAGTCCATGATCAGCTGGGTCTAAGCCAGGGTGGCTGGGCGGAGGAGCAATGCAATGGAGAATGGATCACGGCAGGCAGGAGGTAGAAAAACACACAAAGGGCCTGAACAGTGATTGCTTCTGGTGTCCCCCCGCCCTTTCTTCTTATTCAAGCTGCTCAGGGTGGGTAGCACTCACATCCTTAGCCTAATGCTCTTGAGCCTAGCATTGCACCGTAAATCAATTCTGGCATCATACACTTCCATCCAGCCACCTCTGAGAAAGCCCCACCTACGACCACGTGAGGCTTTAGGCGGGCATCTAGGCACACGTCACAGCACCAGCTCTGTAGGAGACTGAAGCAGGATGATTGCATGTCTTAGTAAGACCCAATCTCAAAATTAAAAAGTAAAAAGGCCTGCGGGGAAGGGTTGCTGTAATCTCAATTACTCAGTTAGGCTGAGGCCAGACCCAAGTTTGAGCCAGTCTGGGAGCTCTAGTGAGACTCTGTCTCAAAATTTTCAACAGGCTGTTGCTCAGTGCTAGGGCGCTTGCCTATGATGCCTGGGGCCCTGCGTTCAATCTCCAGTACTGAAAACAAAAGCAGCATCAACATTCCTGGATGCTCTACTCAGGATTACTCCCATGATGCCCTGCTTGCTGGAAGTCTTTCCTGTAGTCCCAGCTGTCTGCATGTGCAAGGACACGGTGAGGGCTGTGTCACTCTGCCTAAGGCGAGGCTGTATCCTGACCTCTTAGATTTATGAAAGTGAGTCCTAAATAAACTCTAGTTCTTTAGATTATAAAGTCCAAAGTTTCTAATACCCTGTGTCTCCATTGGTTATAATCATTATGAAGGGCCACCCAGTACATAGAAATGGAACTTACAGCATTACTTCAAAAGGGATTTTTTTCATGAGTTTTCAGCCTATCAAAGGCCATTTGGTCTTTTCCTGTACACAGTTAAGCCAGATAGATGGGTTCTTAGGTAGAGAAAAAAGGGGCAGCTGAGATGTAAAGATAATAATATCCATGAAGCTGCATGAAAATATCATGACAGACTTCCCTGCCTATCCCAGGTCCTCGAGGAGGATAAGAAAGCAAAGAAAGAGGAACCACAGTAGTCTCCGCTTGGCCTTCCTTTCCGCTCCTCTGTCACATCAGACCTGTGTCCCCCCCAACTCAGACTCACAGTCTGGCTGGAGTCCAGCTTTGCTCAGTAGCACCCCCTTCGGGAAGAGTTCCCGGCTCACGGTGTATAATTCTGAAGGACAAACCATGGCTATTATTTGGGGGCGTATTTATAATAGGCTCTTTAGGTGTGCTCGCTGTTTCTGGAAATGTATAAACATAAAGGGACCTTCTTCCCCATGTTACAGAAGAGAAAAGAGACTCAACAGAGACGGAATACCTTGCTCTAGACCCGGGGCTAGAGAGTGACAGAAGCAGGGCTCAGACCCGCACTGGGCTGGTGTCCAAGGGCCCCAGTCCCGTCGCACTCCGCTGAGCTGAGCACATGTCCTGCTCCTCCAGCTCGGTGTGGCGTGACACCCGTGCTCTAGGGCTGGCCCTGCCGGAGGTGACCCTCCAAGGAGGCTCTATCTACCCCACTGGCCGCCAGCTCTGGCCCTTATAACAGGGTCAGGGCTTCACTTTGTTTTAAACTTTTGTACTTCCTTTTGTATGTTTATTTTAACGATTTCTTTTTAATTCTAGTTCATTATTTAAAAATTTAAACACTACTGCAGTTGAAAAAGTAGAAGTAAAAATTTCTTTTTCTGTCTTCTTCTGATCCCAATCCTACTGAGTACAATGATTATCAACCTTCCAGGGAATATTTTTCACACTTTTCTATGTTAAGTAAGTAAGTAAGTGTGTGTGTGTGTGTGTGTGTGTGTGTGTGTGTGTGTGTGTGTAGGAAGAACTGCTTTCTCACAGTTTGGTTGTCTGTCATTTTTTTTTTTTTTTAAATCATTGTCCCTTCCAGTTTGTAAACTGCAGAAAGGTAGATTTAAAAAGTATTTTTAAATTAATCTGCATAACACCTTGCACAGCAACATGTTCTTGTTGGACTCACAGGAGCACCTGAGTGCAGGGCGGGAGAGTGGCAGGAACACTCTCTGAGAGATCCTGAGGTCACCAAAGGAAAGGGTTCATGGGTCACAGGGAACAGCACGCTGTCCAGAAAGCTTCCAGGCAGCTGGCCTGAACTGCCGGCCTGTGTACCGGCCCCTGCTGTAAAACCACTCTTGTGAGTTGTCTGGTGGCCCAGTAGGGAAGGGATCCTACTGCAAGGGGAGGCCCGAGGGCGGGCGGAATGTGGGCCCGGCCCAGTTTAGGATTACAAGTGCCACAGAGGCGTGCTTCGGCCACACTTTAAATAGCCAGCCCCTTCCTCTGGCCCCTAGATAACTCTGCCCCCCTGACTGGACCTCTGGCGGCAACTTCACTAAGGTTTGAAATGTTTTCTTCTCTCTCTCTCTCTCTCTCTCTCTCTCTCTCTCTCTCTCTCTCTCTCTTTCTTTTTCTGTTTCTGGGTCTCAGATTGCAGTTTGATAGAGTCATAAGGCTTAAGAGCCAATTTTGATTTTTCTCCTAGAAGATGTTTCTGACACTTAAGATGTGCAGACACAAAGACTGTATGCTGTTTTCTTGATTTTTGGAATCTTGGGTGTCTCATGACTTAAGGGACACTGTGCTTTGAAGAAAGAGAACCGCACCCACACTGAGAAGAAAGACATTGAGTTTAATTTCAATTAAACAGAGACTTGGCTGTGCAATTAGGTGCTGATCAATTCTCTCTCTCTCTCTCTCTCTCTCTCTCTCTCTCTCTCTCTATATATATATATATATATATATATATATATATTTCTTTTAGCTAAGTATATCCTATCATTCCCACTTTTACAGAAACAAAATAAGGCTGAGTTATTCATTAACTTCTCTGCAGTGAGACGAGGCTACGAGCAAAAGGAAGGTTTGAACCCAGGCTTGTCTGACCACAGCTAGTGCCCTTTCAGCCGCAACACGCTCCTCCTTGATGAGCTGTAGTGAGGCTCAGGGGAAGGACCACTGCTTCTCTGAGGGTCTTCCCATCAGTGGAAGAGATCCATCAGATAGTTGGTTAAAGGGATACAGACGAGCACAAGACCTCACCTAAGGAGCCTCCTCCAAGGGGCTGAGGAGGCCTCCAGGCAAGGCTTGCTCTGGCTCCTCTTCCTTGGCCCATAAGCAATCTTTGGGGCCTTTCCCTCTACCAGCAAAGGCACCATTAGTGCCCTGACTTTCTCTTTGACTTTCTGGACCTGACAGGGGCCTGACTGCAGAGGTGGAGCCAAGTTGCCCATGGCCCAAGGGGTTCCTGCTGGGACAGTTCTGTTAAAAGGAACTTTTTTTTTTTTTTTTTTTTTTTTTTTTTTTTGAGGCTTAGGGAAAAGTCGCCTTGTGTACTTCCCTAAAAAAGAAATCAGGAAGGATTCACTAGAAGACACTTAGCTGTGCAAAGAAATTGCAGCAGCTAATATAACTGAGGAGTGTAATGAAAGCAGGAGGGACAGAGGAGATCAAGCCTGTTCTGTATACCTCAGCAGTTCTGTGGACGCAGTCGCATCCTGCAGCCTCTCTGAGCTACGTCATATTTACGCAGTAGAAGTTATAACACACCCAAGGTGTGTTTTCAGCGTTAAGTGAAAGGACCCTCGGTGAACGCCTACTCTGTAGTAAATGTCCACTAAATGTGAGCCGCATCCCGTCTTATCTTCCAACAGCGTCTAGAATAGACCTTCGGCATCTCTGGCAGTGACACCTTTAGAACTGTGGTGCTTTACCTATTCTGTGGTTGCTGATGCTGCTGTGGTGGTGGTGATCTTTTCTGCTGTAACGTTTCTATACTTGTCAACACACACACATAGGTCATCCTCTCTTTTGCTTTCCATAAGAAATGGAGGAATAGATACCTAGACAGCTTCAGATTATCTTGTTCGAAGTCACTGGTTCCCCTCCACTTCTCAATTTTCCACATTCCTTTGGAAGGATTTTTTTAAAACTGGCTTTTATTTTCACATTACAAAAATAAAACATGTTCTTTGATGAAAATATAGAAAACATAGATTAAGAAAATATTCCTATAATCTAACTACTAGAAGGGAAATATTTTGATAGAAAGCCTAATCTTTCAATACATATGAATACTTTATAAAATATTTCCCAAACATATCATACACTTTATACTGCTTTTACTTCATATATTATGAACAGGGTTTGTTTCAATATACTTTCTACAGTTTTTAATTAGTTTATTTATTTTTGCAGTACTGGGGATTGAACTCAAGACCTCGCACTTGCCAGGCAAGTGCTTATTCTACTGAGCTATCTCCCCAGCCCTTCTACAGTTTTTAAATGATTAAATACTAATTCATTGTATTTGTTTGCCATACTTTGTTAACTCTACCACTTTTAGCATTTATGTACTTTATGGTTTTTTGCTTTTATAAACAATGTACATCCTAAATTCCAAATCCTTGCTTATAGCCACAATTACTTATTTCTTCTGCAAAAGGATTAAGTGGCTTTCATAATATGTATGATCTCATCATTTGCTTTGCCCTCAAAACACAGGATAAAGAAACCAAAGCACAGGCCAGTGTAGTCCAGCTGGCTGTAGCATGGCCAAGAGAACTCAGACAACTAGTGTTACATGAACACTTCCGGGCCCCCAAGTCCCAGCCCGAAGCAATCTGGGTAGAGGAGGCAAAGTCTGTTCCTTCAGTGTCAGTGTTTTGCTTCTGCTAAGGGGAGGAATGATAGTCCCAGTAGATGCTGCCTGGCTGTACAATGAGAAATGTGAAAGAGGACACCATTCTGCAGACAGAGGATTCACCCTCTTGCAGTGTATTTTTCCCCTTGGAAATCTGCTAGTGAAGGGAGGAGACTTTCTTTTGAGATTCCCAATAGTAACAGAGAATCCCACTTGTTTTCCAGGTGGGATGGATAGCGGGGTCTCAGGCACAACCAGTAATGGCGAAACAAAACCAGTGTATCCAGCCATGAAAAAGGCAAAGGAAGATGACACTCTGGAGCGGGGGCACTGGAACAACAAGATGGAGTTTGTGCTGTCAGTGGCCGGGGAGATCGTTGGCTTAGGCAACGTCTGGAGGTTTCCCTATCTCTGCTACAAGAATGGGGGAGGTGAGAGCCACTGCACCCTCCTGCCGCCCAGGAAGACAGTGCTTCCATCTCCTGCCCTTACTGCTCTTCTGGGGAGGCCATAGATGCGGGCGAAGGAAGCACCCTGAAGGCCCTTAAGAACGCTGCAGGAGTCTGAGGTCTAGAAAGCTATGTGAGTGTCCTAAGGGGCTGCCAGGTACAGTGCTGCCACATAGAGATGGAAGTGCAGGCCTGGAACCAGATGGATCTGGGCTTGAACTATGGCTTTGCTGCTTTCTGGGTGGTCTGGGGAAAGTTACTTAATTACGCTCTCAGAGCCTTGGTGGCTACTGTGAATCAAGATAGGAATATGTGTCTTTTAAGGTGGTTGTAAAACGTAGAGATAAGGTATATGAAGTGCTTAATAAACAGTAGCTACGCTGATGATAATACGGATGGCAAACTGTTCTGTGGTCTTGAGATTCCTCAGCCTTGGCTTTGTGGCTTTGTGGCTTCCCCCTTCTCAACGGGCACCATGACATTTTTCAAAGCCATCCATGGCTCAACCTCCATCAGTATCATAATCATGGCTCTTCTTTTACAAATTTCCAACTACAAGTGGGAAATTAATATGTGAAGGGGAGGGTGTCAACTCTAGCTCTTTGCTAGGTCAGTATTCACCTTCCATTCTCCTCCATTCTGGCCCCAGGTGGTGACTTTGGTATTCCCGCTGCTAGGGAAACACTTATTCCACTGAGCCATCTCCCCGGCCCCTAGTATTCCCACTGCAGTGGTGGTAATTCTGCGGCTCACCTGTTGTCAGGGAATCCCAAGTCTCTGAGGGAAGTCCCAGTGGGATTTCCTAAGTACTGAAGAGTTTTAGTTGACCAAAAGATTAGGAAGATCTCCAGCTGGTAGGCGAAGCCTACAGAGTAGGCATTCTTATTTGCAATGAGCTTGCAGCCAGGGCTGGAGGAATACAGAATGCAGAGTTAGGTCACTTGGGAATACCCCAAGGCCACAAAGACTGGGAGGTAATCTAAAACAACACCCATCTTTTGAGGGGAGTAGGGGTCTTCAAACCTATCAGGCTGAAGTCTCCAGTGGGTTCTGGAGAAAGAAAGCATGCAAGTCAGAGTGGAGGAGGCAGGAGTGGGTGGGGGAGAACGCAAGAGAATGCTCCGGGCCATCCAATCTCATTCCCAGGTTTGTGACAACTGGGGACTGACCGTGGGGTTGGAAGTTGATTTGTGTTTCTCCAAAGGGATAGCAATGAGCTCATGTGTCCTTTCTCCCCAGGAAGTTTTGGCCAGTGGCCTGAAGTGGCAGGATTTTGCTCAAGCTACAGAAGCAAGAGGAGAGGGCTTCCCATTCCTATCTAGTCTTGGGCACCGCTCAGGCTCGCTGTGGAATTTGAGCTTGAGCACTTCGCCTTGAGAGACTTAGTAGGGATGAGCTGGCCCAGGGCATAAGCAGGAGGCAGGGGCCAAGCGAGGCATCGCGGGGCTGCCTGTGGGACCTCGTAACCAGCTTAGCGCCTCACGTGCCCGAAGATTAGGGACTGAGCAGCTTTCTCCAAGCCTCTCTGGAATTGGGTGAACGTCGGCCCAGGGATTAGCAGGCCTGGCACGAAGAGGTGAAAGACAGTGCTTCCAGGTTTCATCCGAAACTGACAGGCTGAAGGCGGCACAGGAAAGGAGAGCAGTGCCAGGCACTGATGGAGATACGGGGCAACCCTGTGGTCTGTGCTCCGCTCTGGGGGAGCGGCGGGACCCTGCTGACTCCTTTGCAGGCAACACAAGTGCGTGAGGGAAAGAGGATGCAGGGAAGTGGGGGCAACAGGATGGGTACTGAGGCTTTGTTCCCCAGAACTGAGCCTGCCTCCCAGCATACTCTTTGAACCTGGTAGTTGACATTTTAGGGGTCCTGAGATCAGATCAAGTTCCCTCTCTCTGTTTCTCTCTCTCTCT